TTCCTCCCACATTAGCGTAAACTAACTGCCCCTTAAGGTTCGTATGTAATCTTTCAAGTTGCTGTTGTCAATTTAATCCTATCTAGATAGATTTTTTTAGCTTCTTTTAAAATTTTATTTATTTTGTTGTTATTGAGGATATACACAGCAAAAGATACACCAATTCAATAGTTTCTACATGTACATCTCAGTGAAACTGATTACATTCTTCAAGTTGTGCACTATTTTCACCCTCCTTTTCTGAGCTGTTCCTCCCCCATTAACTGACTGCCCCCTAAGTTTCCTATTTAATCTTTTTTTTTAAATATTATTATTGTTGTACTTTAGACGAAGGTTTACAGAACAAATTAGCTTCTCATTAAACAATTAGTGCACATATTGTTTTGTGACATTGGTTACCAACCCCACAACATGTCAACACACTCCCTTCTTGACCTTGGGTTCCCAATCAGCAGCTTTCCTGTCCCCTCCTGCCTTCTAGTTCTTGCCCGTGGGCTGGTGTGCCCCTTTGGTCTCATTTTGTTTTATGGGCCTGTCTAATCTTGGGCTGAAGGGTGAACCTTAGGAATGACTTCATTAATGAGCTAAAAGGGTGTCCAGGGGCCATACTTGCTCGGGGTTTCTCCAGTCTCTGTCAGACCAGTAAGTCTGGTCTTTTTTTTTATGTGTGTGAGTTAGAATTTTGTTCTACATTTTTCTCCAGCTCTGTCCAGGACCTTCTATTGTGAACCCTGTCAGAGTAGTCAGTGGTGGTAACTGGGCACCATCTAGTTGTGCTGAACTCAGTCTGGTGGAGGCTGTGATACTTGTGGTCCATTAGTCCTTTAGACTAATCTTCCCTTGTGTCTTTGGTTTTCTTCATTCTTCATTGCTCCAGATAGGGTGAGACCAGTGGAGTATCTTAGATGGCCGCTTACAAACTTTTAAGACCCCAGACACTGCTCACCAAAGTAGAATATAGAACATTTTCTTTATAAACTATGTTACATCAATTGAGCTAGATGTTCCCTGAGACGATGGTCCCCACAGCCCCCAGCCCAGCAATTTGGTCCCTCAGGGAGTTTGGATGTGTCTATGGAGCTTCCATGACCTTGCCTTGGACAAGTTATGCTGGCTTCCCCAGTATTATATCCTGTCTTACCCTTCACCAAAGTTACCACTTACATAGAAAGATTTTAAAAGAGCATAATGCTCAAGGCAAACATCCTTTATTAGTTAAGCTAAGAATTGTTTGGTTTTAAGGAGATTTCAGGAAATATTTTTGGTTTCAGGTTTAAAGATAACCTTAGAGCAATAGTTTCGGGAGTTCATCCAGCCTCCATGGCACCAGAAGGTCTGGATTCCATGAGAAAAATGTCTTCTTTACAACAGTGATATTGAAATCACTGACATCATTATGGCTCTCACTTCACTGTGTTCTTGGGGGAAAAATTAATACAAACTTTATTAAATTATTAAAAGTACTTTTAAAAAGGAAAACAATTTCTGCCACAATCCAATGTTATAATACCACATCCACCAAAAAATTATTGTACATCTGTGTATACATCTGCACTGTGTTACATACAAAGATATCCTCAAAAGAACTTATAGACTAGTAAAGAGAAACATCATGGGATAAACACTATAGAGAAAGAATAAGCTTATGTTAACCAATGCACAAGAAAATCACATATATATAAATCATTAATTTATCCTGATAAATACAATATAGAACTATCAATTAGCTAGAGATTTGTTCAGTTAAAACAAACAAAAAACAGTTACCATTTAGCTAACACAGAGTATGTACTAAGTGCCAAGCATCATGCTAAAATTTTTATAGGCATTATCTCAGTTGATCCTCATCATAATCATATGAGGTGAATACTTCCTCCATATTTATAGATAGGGAAACCGAGAAAGAGAGTTTAAGTAACCTGCCCATGATTACACAGCAAAGGAAAGATGTGAATCCGTACCTTTCTTATTCCTAGGCGTATCGTTCATTTTCTTGGGTATAAAATCAAAGTAAGGGATGTGGGCTGTATAATTTAATTACTGGTGTCATCAGCTTACTTTTATGCATTTATCTTTGTAGCAGATTATTCTTCACTTGCACATACCTACCCTTGCCCCATTACACTGTAGTTCTGAATATCGCACTGTAAGGCAATCCTTTTAGTCTTTCATCCTTGTTAAGTATAAAGCAATTGATAAACCCTTCTTACATCTATTTTCCAGTCTTTTTTTCCTGATGGATTACATCTGGCCACTTGATTGTATTTGGATGTTTCTTAACCATTCCTTTACTGACAGTCTCTCCTGGGTTTTCTTCTCTGCTATTTTGATAAACTCCATTTCATTCTTAGAGAGTAATTTTGGCTTTAGTTTTGGTGGTAATTTTCGGTTGCTCCATAGTGCTATATAGCTTTGATGGTATATTTTGGAATGGTCATAAGCCAGAACAGTCTTCTCTGTGCCCAGATAGTAAAGAACCACAGCATCCCTCCTTCCACTACAGCCCCATTTTTGCAAATGGCTTCAGGTCCAAAGGAACAAGTCCATGGTGCAGTCACCTCTCTTTTCCCTTCATACTGCTTGTCTATAGTAGGAAGCTGGAGAAACAAATTGACTTAGTAAATCTGGAAAAACTACCATAAATGAGAGATTTACTTTAAAACACAGTGGTTTTCTTGGTTGCTTCCATTCTGTTCTAATCCTATTACCTGACATATGACAATACATCAACTTTGGGGTGATTGTTCAGCTTCCTTAAAATGGGCGTGCTATGAAATCTGTATAGACTCATTAAACATAATGTCATTGGAAATATGCTCTTTATTTATTGTGATTAAAAAAAGAAAGAAACGTTACAGAGCAGAATATAAATGACGCATTTCGTGTTAAATTGACTGGAAAGGAGATGAATAAAAGAATGTTCTCTCCAGGGGATAGAATTTCTCCATCACGCTTTTTACTTTCTTCTTTATGTTTCTCTCTTTTTTCACAATAAACATGTGAACAGGTGTCTTCAGTTGCCGATTCAAGCTAGCTTCAGCAAAAGGGAAGACTTTGTTGTGCAGGACACAGGACTCTTCCACAGAACCTAAGGGCAAGGTCAGAGCCAGGGTTTGGAAAAGACTGGAATCAAGAACAGAAGGCTTTCAGGACTTTCTGACTCATCTCAACCTCTCAATGTCATTCTTTCTCTTCATTTGTCCCTGCATTCATTTATTCAATATGTATTTATGGAGTGCGTATTATGTTCAGGAGCCCTGGTGGCATTAGTGGTTAAGAGCTCAGCTGCTAACAAAAGGTCAGCAGTTTGAATCCATCAGCTGCTCCTTGGAAACCCTATGGGGCAGTTGTACTCTGTCCTGCAGGGTCTCTATGAGTTGGACGGCAATGGGTTTTTGGTTTACTAGGTTCCAGGAGCCATTCAAGTGCTGGGCATATAAAGGTGAACAAGAGAAACAAAATTTTCTGCCTCCCAAGTCCTTATATTCTAGTAAGGATCATTGAAAAATAAACAAGGGTAAATAAATGATGGTAGTTTCTTAGTATGGTAAGTGTTATGAGGGAAATAAATACGGTGACATGGCAGAGTATAACTGGGGAAGTGCTCACATTAGTGATGAAGGTCAGGGAAAGGTCTCTTGGCAGATGATAAGATGGTGAGAAACCTGAAGGATGAGAAGGAGCCAACTATGTAAAGAGAAGGGAAAGAGTATTCCAGCAGTGTACAAGACCTTGAGACAAGAAAGAGGTTGGTGGTTGGAGAAGCAGAGAGGAGGTCAGTGTTGAGAGCATTGTGAGCTAGAGGAGGAGAGGTACAAAGCGTGATGGGAGAAGTAGAAAGGGAATCGGATCATGTGAGGCTTTGTGGACCCGATAAGGGTTTAGATTTTATTCTAAATGTAATGGAAAGCCATTAGAAACTTCTAAGCAGGAAATGCTAGGAGGTAGGTTGTTTTACAAAGGTCACTCTGGATACTTCAGGGAAAATTTATTTGGAAGTGGTGGTAAGAAAGTGGAGAGAACATTAAGAAAACATTATGGTAGTTGAGGTAAGAGACACAGGAGGCTTGAATCACAGTTGTGGCAGTGCAGACAAGCTGATATATTTTGTAGGAAGAACCTGGAAGAAATACTAATGAATGGATGAGGGGAAGGGAGTAATCAAGGCTTTAGGGACTGGGAAATGATAGTGCCATTTATAGAGATAGGGAAAAACTGGGAAAAGATCAGGTTTGAGAGAGAAATCTAAATCCTGTTTGGGACAGGTGAGTTTGAGATATCTAGTAGCCATGCAAGTAGAAATATTGAAAGGTAGAAAGATGTACAAATCCGAATGTCAGAGGTGGAGATATTAATTTTGGAAGCAACAGTGTATAACAACATAGAGTGTTTAAAGCCAGGGGTCTGGATACTACCATTCAGGAAAACAGTGCTGACCAAGGTGTGAGGTAACTTTACAGATAGGATTTCCTGGTTATTCAGGCCACAGGGCAGAATATGGACATCCCACAGCTCCCAAACCATCCATAGAGGCTAACTTAACTTTCTCAGCCCCATTTCCAACTTCTTGGGAATCTGATTGGCTTGGCTTGAGTCAGTTGTCCGCCATGCTCCAATCTTCAGTGGCTGGGAGGCAACCAAATATAAACTAAATAGGGAGTAGAGGCCCATTCCCTGAGAAAGGGGATGGTCATTGGCTTCCAGGCTTAGCAGACACTTCAAAATTGATACAAAATTATAGTATCAATTCTATAATTAAAAAAACCTGATTTTGGTTTGAATAAGTAGTCATTATTACTGAATGGTCTTACTGTTTAGTGCAGAGCAGTCCACACCACCACAAAAATGGCTATGACGTGTCATATACCATCATGAAAGTGCTGAGAAATTCCACCTACAACTTAAGTATAACTTAAGTACGTCCTGAAGGTGCATGTAATTAGTTGGACTTCTCTATTTCAGTGTCCCCTGGGACGTCTTCAAGCTTGGGAGCTGACGAGATGTCACATCTTCTGGTAGATGATACATCAGGAGACCGACCAGTTAGAGACACAGATTCCATACCTCTGAGGATGCCAGCCTGGAAAGGTAAGTTCAGTGCCTGAGGAAGGATATCTTTTAGAATTATAGCTCTCAGTCTGTTGTTGTGGGGTATCTTGCTAGCCTTCATAGTAGTTGCTTTGCTCTCAGCTCCTTTTTCAATCTTCTCAATATTTCATTCTTAAATTCTTATAATTATAATTCTTATGAGGAAAAAAATATATAAAGAGCAGTAATAAATACGATATACATAATAATAAAAAGAAGATATATAATATATATAAAACAGCTATATTGAGATATAATTTACATACCATAAAACTCACTTTTAAAGTATACAATTCAGTAGTTTTTAGTATATTGATTAATTACCACGATTTAATGTTAGAATATTTTTATCACCCAAAAAAAAAAACCTGTAGCACCCATTTCCCATCTCCCCTCCCTGCCCCTGGCAGTCACTAATCTACTTTTTCATCACTATAAATTTGCCCACTCTGGACATTTCATATGAATAGAATCATACAATATGTTATCTTTTTTCACTGGCTTATTTTATTTAGCATTATGTTTCCAAGATTCATCCAAGTAGTTGCATATACCAGTACTTTATTTCTTTTTATTGCCAAAGAATAGTTCATTGTGTGGATATACCAAATTTTGTTTATCCATTCGTCAGTTAATGGATATTTGGAATGTTTCCACTTTTTGACTATTAAGAATAATGCTAATATGAACATTCGTGTACAAATTTTTGTGTGGGCAAGTTTTCATTTCATATAACTAAGAGCAGAATTTCTGGGTCTTATGATAATTCCAGGTTTAACATTTTGAGGTACTGCTGAACTATTTTCCAAAGTGGCTGTACCCTTTTACATTTCTACCAGCAGTGTTTGAAGGTTCCAATTCCTCCATATCTTCACCAACACTTGCTATTATTGTCTGTGATCTCCACGTGTTTTTGTTTTGTTTTGTTTTCCTGTTGTGTTTCTGATTTGCATTTCCTTAATGACTAATCATATTGAACATCTTTTCACATACTTATTGGCCATCTGAAGGAGCCCTGGTGGCACAACAGTGAAGTGCTCAGCGGCTGACTGCAAGGTCAGTGGTTTGAATCCACCAGCCGCTCTGTGGGAGAAAAGACTTGGCTATCTGCTCCTATAAAGATTATAGCCTAGGAAACACTATGGGGCAGTTCTACTCTGTCCTATATGGTCACTATCAGTCGGAGGCAACTCAATGGAACACAACATTGTCCATTTGTATATATTCTTTGGAGAAATATCTATTCAGATGTTTGTCCATATTTTAACTGGATTGTTTGTCTTTTTATTGGTGAGTTGTCTTTTTTTTAATAAACTTTCTCACTGTGACAAGTAAGTTTTTGAAGAGGCTACATAATAGAGCAATACAGTTTTCTTGGCAGCTTTTTAATTTTGGTTTTCAGCACAATTTAATAAAATGGATTTCTCTCTAGGCAAAATTCTTCCTGCTCCTTAATTTTGAAGGACCTCTTTATGTCAGTATTAGGAATGGTAGATAAAAATAGAGAAGCAACAGCATATATACTCATCACAGCTCAAAATCATGCCTGTGATGAAGAAATTTTGAGGTGGTGCAAGTCAGTTATCTCTTAGCTATCTCCTCATGGGGCTGACTTTCCACACAATACTTTTCCATTAATGGTCTTGTCTGATTAAATGATACAGAAAAGTGTGCTGGCACATTGTGGAGTTGCAACCAATGTCACAGAACAATATGTGTATAAATTTTTGAATGAGAAATTAATTTGAGTTGTAAACCTTGACCTAAAGCACAATAAATTTTTTTTTAAAAATGATACTGAAAGACTGTTTTCTCAGTTAATGATACAGTCTTCTCAAAAGAGAGAGTTTTGTATTATCTAAAAATGCTTTGATCTCTAGCTCTGCAATCCATCCAGCCTCAAGAAGACCAGCAATTCCTGGTTCAGACAAGTCATCCCCACCCCTCCTTTGCTCCAGTTACTGCCATCTCCCTTCCCCAACACAGTCCCTGCATACAAATGATTTTAAGCCAAGTAAAACTTCCAGGCCTTGGTCCAGGTGCTTGGCTTTCCTTCTAGAGACCTCTTTTGCCCTACCTATTTCACATGGATCAACTGGAGTTGGTCCAGCTAGGCAGGTAGCTGTAATTGCCACTAGGGTTTTTTTATCCTCACCTGTTGTAATATAACATCTTCTCGTTATTTTGTTTGCAAAAGGAAAGCGATAAGTAATGTCTCTTTCCTTTTTTCATTTATTTTCTCATGATACTTTTTATGATGAGTTTTTTTTTAAATAATTTCAAACTTACAGAAAAGTTGCAAGAATAATACTCAGAACTCCCATATATCTTTCACTCAGATTCCACGATGGTTAACACTTACCTCATTTGCCTTGTCATATTCTCTCTCATATGGAGCCTTGGTGGTGCAGTGGTTAAGCATTGGGCTGCTTACCAAAAGGTTGGCACTCCGAATCCACCAGCCACTCCTTGGAAGCCCTACGGGGGCAGTTCTACTCTGTCCCATATATATAGGATCGCTATGAGTCGGAATCGACTAGATGGCAATGGGTTTGTTTTACATATATATACACATATATATCATATATATATCATATAGACACATATATATCATCTATACATATATATATATGAATAAATTTAAAAAAAGATACAACTTCCAAAACAATGAGCTTACAAAATGATGTAGCTGATTGCTAGGTGCACTTAGTGTATTAGAAAAGTATGATCTTTGAGAAAGAAATTTGAAACATGACCATAAACCTTTCTGAAAATCTCCAGTTATAACAAACTCTTTGCTTCATTTACTTCTAACAATTTAATATATACTGAAAGGGAAATTGGACATAGTTTGTGATGAAATCTAGAAAGGTTTTTTTCCCATAAAGTAAACATATATATCCTTCCCTTGGTACGTTCTTCCAAACTTCTTCTACTGTGCTGAAGAAATATTGGGTTCTTTTAGATTTTTGGTTAGGTGGATGATATCCTCTCCATGTAGGTAGTTTCTGTACAAGGTTTTCCTGTCTCTAGATATATGAGTAAAAGAATAATTTCTTTTGTAAGGATCAGCACAAAGCTGGTTCCTGTGAGGCAGAGATTAAAGATGTGCCAAATGTCTAACTTTTCCAAACTTCTGTACCTTTCCACCATCTCTAACATCATCTTCTCCCTCTCCCCTCACTACTCTCCCTCCCGTCTTTGGGTTCGGTAATTTGCTGCAAATCCTCACAGAAGTCATGAACCCTACTTACAGTTAAGTGGTTTATTAGGGAAGTAAAAGGCTATAACTCAGGATCAGAATCAACTTGGAAGTAACAGGAACAACTCAGAACGCCTCAATCAGGATAGCTTGTTCCCGCCCTATGCTGCAGGGCCCTGCTGTGTTACACCTCTTAGCTCCATGGGTCTGCAAGCCCCACCACAGCCATCTTGCACTGGTCTTCTGATTCCTGCAGTCTCCTGTCACCTTCTCTTGCTGCGTTAGAGCTCATTTCTCCTTCCGTGTCTCCCTTTAAGCCTAGTAGGATAGCAAAACTGACCAATCCCCTCAATAGGGTTCCATACACTTTATTTGCATGGTCCCAACCTCACAAGGGTGCCATGTACAGCATTTACATTATTAGTAAGCTATCCAATCCCCTTGGCGAGTCACAAGCACCTCATTTGCATATCCCCACCCAGTCGTCTGATGGGAGTTACAAAGATTATGGTTAGAAGGGTCATATTAAGTAACTCATTGCACCACAAGGACTTTTCAAACTTTGAAAATGATCTCAGCCAGTTCTTGTTTTATATGTTTTGCGGAATAGGTAAAGCTTTGAGAAGCACAAAATACCCAATTGTGCAGTGCGGAAGAGCATTGTTAACATAGTAGTTCCTTCACTTATTAAAATACAATGATCCACTTTCATATGGAGAGGAAGTCAAGGTGATATAGACAAATAAAAGATTGGTATAAACTTAGAAAAATAAGGATAAATATTAAGGTGATAGCAAAGGAAAGTAACAATCCGACAAGTAAAAATGAAAAACAAGAAAAATGTAAAGACTCAGCAAATACAAAATCAACAACAATGAAAAAGATGAAAAGAAAATATATAAAGAAAAATGACTCAGCACAGAAAATTAAGTGGAACAAATTGTCAACAGCACACAAAAAAAAAGACATCAAAATGAGAGCCCTAAACTCATACCTATCAATAATTATGCTGAATGTAAATGGACTAAATGCACCAATAAAGAGACAGAGAGTGGCCGAATGGATTAAAAAACACAATCTGTCTAAATGCTGCCTACAAGAGACACACCTTAGACTTAAATAAACAAACAAACTGAAACTCAAAGGATGAGAAAAAATATGTCAAGCAAACCACACTCGAAAAAGAGCAGGAGTGACAATATTAATCTCTAACAAAACAGAATTTAAAGTAAAATCCACCACAAAGGGTAAGGAAGGACACTATATAATGGTCAATACACCAGGAGGACATAACCATAATAAATATTTATGAACCCAACAAAGGGCTCCAAAATACATAAAACAAACTCTAACAACATTGAAAAGAGAAATAGATAGCTCTACAATAATAGTAGGAGACTTCAACACACCACTTTCAGTGAAGGACAGAACACCAGAAAGAAGCTCAAATAAGACACGGAAGATTTAAATGCCACAATCAACCAACTTGACCTCATAGACATATACAGAACACTCCACCCAGGAGAAGACACGTATACTTTCTTTTCCAATGCACGTGGAACATTCTCCAGAATAGACCCCATATTAGGCCATAAAGCAAGCCTTAACAGAATCCAAAACATCAAAATATTACAAAGCATCTTTTCTGACCATAAAGCCATAAAAGTGGAAATCAATAACAGAAAAGGCAAGGGAAAAAAATCAAACACATGGAAACTGAACAATACGTTGCTCAAAAACTACTGGGGTATAGTAGAAATTAAGGATGGAATAAAGAAATTCACAGAATCAAATGAGA